ACAAACACACACATGGAAAGAGCTGGGCCATGCATCTGTAATTGCATCTGTTCATTGACCTGGATTCTGCAAGATGCTGGATGCACCAAGAGATGCCTATTAATAATAAAAGAGAAAGAGAGGAGAATCCTATTTGTGAACAAATTCTGGGCTGCCCAGAGGCCCACCATGGCAAACAGAATTATGGCTGAGCTAGGCCTTATTTCTGACCCAGCGTTAGGGTTCCTCTTGTTGCCCTTCACCCCTCCCCACAAAGCTCGTCCTCTGGAACAAGAAATTCAAGGAAGGTGGGGCTGGGAAGAACAAGGCAGGGCGGAGATGCAAAGGGAAGGAAGAAAGAGGGAAGGCTGACAGGAAGGAGCGGCCTTTGTGAATACCTGGGAAAGTGGCAGGTCACAACGTCTACAGGGGTTCTCAATCATTCAGGTCATGGTTGTCCCAAGCGTCTTGGATGAGAAGCAAAACTTCTTCAAAGGGGGAAAAAGAAAAAAACAAGACAGTCCAGTTGACTCTTGAAAAAGCACCTTTGGCAGGTCAAGAGAATTGCATTTCTTTTACCACGTCAATCTAGAAAGAGAAATGGCAAAGAATCATAGAATCCAAGGGCTTGGAGGTCTTCTAATCCAAAGCACCAGCATGCAGATTCTATCTGCAGAAAAAAAAAACATTTGCATATAATTTGTTGGTGGAAATTGTCCTCGGTTTAGACGACATTTTATCAAGAGGGGGGAGAATTCGCACGAGACAACAGGCTTCTCTTTTACAAAATCTGCTTTTAACTCGGTTTTCCTTTTCCTCCAGGAGTTGGACTGCTTTGCAAGGAAAGAATTGGGATATATCTCCCAGTACCTGAACTGGATGAGGACCATGGTGAGAATTGGCTTCCCTTACAGTCCTCAGATGCCCCTGTGTCAGCGATGTGCAAATCACTGACAATCACACACACACACACAATATCCTTTTGTTTGTTCTGTTCCAGCTGGCTGAGGATGTGGCTTCCTGCCAGCCCTTTTCCACTGCTCTGGACAATGGCCGGGTCATCTTGTGCAGTCGCATCCTGGACCCTTGGGTAAATCTTTCTGCCCCCTAACTAAAGCCTTCGACCTTTCCTGGCCCACAGCTTACCTACCACCTAGTGACCATTCGAAGTTACAATGGCCGCTGGGAAAAAAGTGACCCTTTTTCACACGACTGTCGCAGAACCCCCAGCAGTCACGTCATCAAATTTCGGATGCTTGGCAAACGACTCGTATTTACGATGGTCGCAGGGTCCTGGGGGTCACGTGTTCCCCTTCTTACGAGCAAATTCAGTGGGGAAACCAGATTAACAACCGTGGTATAACTTAGCAGCTGCAGCCATTCACTGAACAACGATGGCAACCAGGGGTTGTAAAATAGAGCAAAACTCACTTAACAACCGTCTCGCTTAGCAACCAAGACTTTGGGCTCTGTTGTGTTGGTAAGCTTGAGGATGACCAGTATATTCCTAGCCTGGTTTTTAAGAAATATGTTTTTATTAAATGAAACACTTCTTTAGCAATTCTGAGGAGTAAACACTATAGAAGGAGGAGGAGAACCATTTAAGTTTGAGAAAGTCAAACTCCGAAGCAATCCAACAGTGCTTTTCCAGCCTTGCTCAAACGGCTTCAGCTGAGAGTTGGCATTCAGCCGGTTCGGACTGGTTCTGCAGAACCGGTCGTGGAAATCTTGAGTAGTTTGGAGAACTGGCCAATCCCACCTCTGACTGGCCCCGCCAACCCCATCTATGCTCTGCCTCCCATTGAGTCCCAGCTGATCGGCTGGGTCTCCTTTGGTTGCCCTGCCCAGGAGAACGGAGCTGGAAAGCAGGTTAGTGGGGTGGGGAGGGAAGGGGGATTTTGCAGTATATCCTTCCCCTGCCATGCCCACCAAGCCACGCCCACAAATCCAAGCCACGCCCACAGAACTGGTAGTAAAAAATTTTTTAACCCCACCACTGCTTCAGCTAAATCTGTGCCCTGCTTCCGATGAGTGGACTTTAGCCCGTAAAAGCTGGTGCATTTTTAATGAACTTCGCTGGCGTGCAAAGGTGCTTCACCACAGCAATGTCTACAGGTAGGTCCAGAAGATGATGTCGTTCTCAAAACACTTCGGCGAGATCCGATTGGCTGAAGACCGACTCGTCACGAAGGGGAGGGCTGGGAGAAACCCTTCTGTACCTTTGGACCGTGGGAAACCCAGAACTGGCCTGACTTGACTTCAGCCAGCATCCTTCCAGTAAAAGAACCTTCCGCTGCAACCAAATGGACCCAGATTATATACCAGAGTTCGAGGATTTTTCCTCGGTGCCAGGAAAAAGACCCACCCGTATACTTTCCCTTTGGTGACGTGTGCCTTTCCTTTCCCCCAGAATGCCTTTTGGTTCAGCCTGGGTGGATGCGCCTTCTTCCTTCTGCCTGGCATGTTTCTTGCCCTCAAGATGATGAAGCATTTTCGTCCAATTCGGCACAAATTAGTGTAAGTAGCATCACTGCAAAAAAATGAGGCGCGGGGGGGTACAGATGGTTCTTTGCATCACTGCTGTTGCTGTTGGGATGGTTTGTCTCGCAGTCTAGACTGGGTTTGGCATGTTTTATTCCCCTATCGAGTCCTTCGCAAGGACCTGGCATAGACAGAGGTGAGCGTTTGATGGGGTTAAAGACGCAGCATTGTTGCAGGATGCAAGCTGTTCCGTAAAGCTGCCTTTCGCAATTGACTCACGGTGAATTTGTCAATGCCGAAGAAGCTTCGGTTGTTTTGGGATTGCACCCAAGGCGCCTCTTATTATTGACACTAACACTTTCTTTGACCACAGTTGTTCTAATTCTATTTACAGGTCTTTGCATTTCTTGATTTTTCTTCAGTTCTTTCTCTTCCATTCTGTTGTCTCCAGGTATTGCCACCTCTATTATTTTTTGGTCTCTCTTACCAACAATTGTTAAATCTCGGAGTTTTATGTGGCAGGTGCCTGGCTGTTGGAATTCTAAACGCCCAGGGCACTTGAGCTTCATTTTCTACTATTTTGTCTATTTGATGGTCCTGCCATTTCTTACTTGCAGGATATTTTTTGTAGTATGGACCCTTTTTCTAGATTCTCCTAGCTCAGCATGAACTTATCAGGGAAGAACATACAACGGGGGGAAAAAAACACAAAAGCTGCAGCAATAAAAGATGTATAGATATATTTTTTAAAAAATAGAAATCAAGCCTCGCTCTAGCCTACATACAGTTATCTGAATAGCTCAGCAGGGCATCATCGACTGCCAAAATGCTTTAACTTTCTCTCTTGCAAAATTTCACCCACTCAAAAAAGACTGGGAATACTCCAGGACCTTTTTCTGTCATCTTTGGAGAGGGGCCACCAAACCGAGCCTCCCGCAGAGGTAGGGGCCCCCTTGCTAAGTGTCTGTGGAGATTCTCCATCATCCCAGAGATGCTCTTTTCAAGAGGCTCCAGAAAAGTTCCAGAAAGTCCAGTTGCCTCTTGAAAAAGCATCTTTGGGACCCCTAAGGGACAACTCACCTCCCATTATCAGGCTAAATGCCCATCCTGTGGAGCTTCAGGATGGAGAGAACCTGGCGTTGTTCCTTTTTTTTAGCTATCTGTGATGACCCGGGACATGACACAAAAATAACCAAGTCACAAAAATAGAAGAAAGTCACTTTAATGCCTCCAACTTGGCCCCAATGTCCAATTATCCTCGGCTGGATATCAAACTCTTCCAAAAGCAATCTACGAAGGGCAGAAATGCAGTCTGAATCCAAAGTAAAGATAATTAGAAATAAAAAAACAACAACACAAACCACGCTGAAGTCATTAACACAGCAGGCCAGGATGATCAATTGCAGACTTTCAAAGGATAACGCAGCACCCACAGTTGGGAGGACGCCAAAACCCAGATAAGCCTCGAGAAAGATCATGCACGCTTTGCTTCCAGCAAGGTGCTGTGTGCAAACGCCCCACTTATATCCTGTTCTCCCAGCTGCAACTAATGAAAGGGATCAGGGCCCCTTTCTCTTCCGCAAGCCACGTTGCTCCCTTCTCCGTTCCTCCTTGCGTGCCCTAGGATGAAGAGGGGGTGGGCCTGGGTCTTCCTCTGAATGCCCAGCCAGACTGTGCCCTTCCCCTATTTCTTCCACAGCCACCAGAGCCACATTCCCACTCCCTGTCAGCTGCTCAATCTCCCCCTCGGAATCAGATTCCAACAAGGACATGACACTATCAAGTGCCAGAGTCTACAAAACAAAATGGAGTCTCCCTTTAGTCCCTGTCTTGCTGTACGGTATTAGTTTTGGGTAGTTTCATTTTTATTTCTGGAAGACACCCAGAGTCATGCAGTTGAGGTGGGAGGCGAAATCAATCAAACTAATGCATAAAGAAGGCACCCAGACTGACCTTATCAAGGAGACAGGCGGCACATCAATTGAATGAATGAATGAATGAATGAATGAATGAATGAATGAATGCCCCAGTCATTCTACAAGCCTTGAACAACTTCCTGCTCGGTGGGGTCTATAGGGCACAGTCAAAAAAGCCAAGGGGGCAGCCACAATGCTGCAACGGAAGCTCTGCCCACTTTTGATGGGCACGATAACATCTACGCGCCATGTACAATGATGCTGTGGTGGCCATTTTGACTTTTTTGACCGCAGTGTGCGGACATCCCCTGTTTCCTGAGAAAATAATAGAATTTGCTTTCTCTTCCGCTGCGTCTAGTTCTACTGGATCAGATGAAACGTTTCCCTTCCACATCCCACGGGTCACGTCTCTGCGGCTGTAAGGCCTCCCTGACCACCCCTCCGGATGCCCAGGTGAGGGGACCGACGGCTGCTCCTTCCAGGAAGTGCCCTTTGCTGTGTCTCCCGCAAAAAGGTCCTCCTTCCAGAACTGCAGTATCGTCAGCGCGTTGATGGGCAGGACTGTTTCCAGGAGACCTTCACCAAAGGCCCACTCCCAGTGACCCTGGCTGAAATTAGGGGAAAAAACGGTTCTGTTTGACAGTGCTCCAAACACAGGTCGAGTTGGAAGTTTGAATGGCCCCAAAACTTGTAAAAAACAACAACAAACCCTGGCTATTGGGACTTAAATGTTCCTCATCGTTCAGTGCCATTTTTAAAATACATATATATTGTCAGCGTTCCAGAAAACAAATAACTCCAACAAATAACTTCTAGACAGACATCTTCCCAAAAGTTCCCTTTTTTTGGATAGCAAACTGGCACATCTGGGGAATCCCGAATCTGAAAGTTCTGGGCTTCCTTGCAATAAGTAAAAAACTACAAATCCACCTCCTGCACCCATCATCGCATCCCATGCCCCAATCACCATCCATCCCTACTTGAGACGTCCTCTCACCCAGGTGCAGAAATAACATGACCTTGACTTAGAAAAAGATTGTTGTTATGTCTAACTACATACACTCCAAGAAATTCCCTCCTCCCATTTTCCTAGGCTCAAAATTTGGCAGTGTGAGAGCCTCAATATGGCTTCCAAAGCTCACACACACACACACACACACACACACATATAAAATTGATACAGGTAGTCCTGGACCACAATTGAGCCCAACATTTCTATTGTTAAGTGAGACATTTGTTATAAGTGACTTTGCCCCATTTTACAGCTTTTCTTGTCTTCGTTTTTGAGTGAATCACTGCAGTTGATAAGTGAGTAACCCAGTTGTTAAGTGAATCTGGCTTCCCCAGTGACTTTGCTAGTCAGAAGGCCGCAAAAAAAGGGGATTGCATGACCCCTGGGGATGTTGCAATGGTCATAAGTATGAGTCAGTTGCCGAGCACCTGAATTTTAATCACCTGATCACGGGGATGCTGGAAAAGTCGTAAGCCCCATTTTTCAGCGCCGTTGTAACTTTGAACGGTCACTAAATGAAATGTTGCAGGTCAAGGACTACCTGTATTGCCTTTCGGTTGTTTTATGTGACTATGATTGCTCTGCTGTTGGCTGTGGGTTGTTTCTTTTTCTTTTGGTCCACCATTCAGGTCACCTTGAAGCCGTTCAACGGGACAGGGGAGGCATCTCAAACCCCTAAGGGCTTCTTCTGCACCTACCAGGGGTCTTCTTTTAAGTCAGAGGTCTCCAAACTTGGAGTTCAGATTATTGCAGTGTAAATTCAGCGCCAGAAGAGTAAACACAGATGGCTGAGGCTTCATTTTAACTTCTTAATCAACACATAAAGTAAATCTTACAATACCAGTTGTAGATTTCTCCAACATTTCTCCAAACTCAAACAGAAGCAGACATGTTAAAGGTTCAAAGCTTCAGCAGCAACTCAGCTTTAGCTCAGAAACAGACCTCGGTTTCACTTTAGTTCAGCAGGCAAGCAAGACACACAGCGGAGGAAAGAAGCCGTTTTATTCTCAATAGACAGACTCAGAGCTCAACAGAGTTGCACAGCTTAATATATAGATCCACGCCTAGGCTACTTCTAGTTTCAGATTCCAAACAGTCCTCCTTGGCTGACTTAATTGCTATGCCTAGTCATTGGCTGACCTGGTTACCATGCTCTTATTCCAGTTCATGAATAATACTCTGACACTTGGCACTATGCTGGCTGCAGAATTCTGGGAGTTGAAGTCCACAAGTCTTAAAGTTGCCAAGTTTGGGGAACCCCTGTTTTAAGGGGTGACGTGTCCCCAAAGGATTTCCAAGGTGTAACTGCTTGGAGATAGTGCTGCCCACATCAGGAAGACTCATCAGCCGCATCCAACTTGTTCTGTTCGGCTGAAAGCGGTTTGAGGCTTCAGGGATCCGATTTATTTCTGAAACTCTGAGAAGAGCCGGCACTAATCTGGTTATTACAGGGAACAAGTTTTCTCCGCCGTGACCTCCCTCCCAGGCAGGAGAGGAATTAAATAAACTTCTTCTGAGCGCTAACATATAACTGCATATTCCCAGACTGGCACCCACATTCCAAATAGAACAGTCATATAAAATTTGCAGCCCTCCCAATGTTGCTGTCAGGGCTCCAACAAATCCACCCCCATTCAAGTCCTAAGTCTCTAGCCACATCTCTCAGAGTAAAAAAAAAATGATTTATTAGGAGTGGCCATGTTGGCGTTAGCTGGATGCAGGTGATACTAAAACACCTCATTCATTTTCCCCTTGAGCCTGGTCTTCCTCCCACCCCAAGGATGTATATTCTCCAATGGGACGCATCCATAGCCAAGAGTCATCGTGCTCTCCCGTAATAATATTGCACGCCGACAGCTTTGCGCTGCCCAGGCGATTATCTGAGGCATTTAAGGAATGCACTGCTTTCCCCCACTCCCTTTCTGCTGGCAACTAAAAAGGCCAAAGAAGTATTTTTTTAGTGGATAGTTGCAAGGCGCTCTCTCTCTCTCTCTCTCTCAATCATATAATTTAAAAGCGTATTGGGGAAAGTCTGTATATTCATAGAGGTGATTTATGAAAGAGTTATTGCAATATGAAAAAAAAAATAATTTGCAAAAACAATGTACGCTAAGACAAATAAACATTTACTTGGAGAAATATATATCACACTGGAGGCAGGGCTGGGAGAAAAAGAGATGGATATGTTTGCAAAAATAATAATAAAAACACCGAGATAAGCCAAAATGAGCTTCTTTGACTGTCCTTAAAGGTTCCACTTAGCCTCTAAATGGATTGCGAACACAGCAGGGGTCTCTTGCCAATGATGGCTAGGTCTCCCTGCAGAAAACCCTAAGCTACAGTTAGTCCTTGACCACACAAGGACTGCACCCTTGTGTTCCCACACAGCCTGGATTAATTGCTTTGGGGGGGACATTTCTCTGAGGACCACCAAAATTTTCTCATGGACCACCAGTGGTCCCCAGCCCACTGGTTGGCGACCACTGGACTAGATGACCCACAAGGTCCCTTCCAACTCTGTTAATCTGTAATCTCTCACCTGCTGAGCCAGGTAACATCTATTTTGCACTGGTACTTTTGCTTTTTCTCTGCAGGACTTTACTTTTCTCACCATCCAGCCACATTTTGTTGGGTAGCTCCCAACATTTTCCTTACAGGTTTTGTTCTTCGTCTGTTTTATTCGTCAATTCTGTTTGATCCTCCATTTTCATCTTCATGTCTGTTCATCTTGATACCTGCTACTGCAGCCAATTCTTTTGCTTTTCCTATTCGTGTTTTAATTCCCTTTGAAGACTCTTCCAAAACCACCAGCAAGTTATCTGCAAAAGCCCTTAATTTCCTAAGTTTATTTTTAGATCTTTGCTACCACAATCCTTTCGTCTTGTCTCACACATCTACTCAGAATTGCAAGAACCAAAATAAACAAGAGAGGAGGCAGTGCCATCCTTATGTCGTCCCTTTTTATATCTCACAGGTTTCTTTTTTTGGTTAGATCAATTATTTGTGCTTTCTGTGAAGTGTAAATCGATCTCAGTCATTTGATAAAGTTCTCTCCAAAATTAGTATCTTCCAAAGTCTTCAGCAGGAAAGCTCACTTCAATTGTCAAAGGGCTTCTTCGCATCTTAAGACAATCAATGTGGCTCATTTTTCATTATGTTGCTCCAAATATTCCAAAATGTCCATGTGATGACCCGGGGCGTGGCACAAAGGCAACACAGTCAAATAAGTAAGAAAAGTCCCTTTAATACCTCCAACGTTGCCCCCAATGTCCAGTTTACCTTCGGCTGGAGAAAAATCTCTCCCAAGAACAGTCTTTAAGCGGAGGAAATTCAGTCCGAAAACAAAGTACATACAAACTGTAAATAAACATCCACGCAAAACATGCTGCAGCAATTAACTGGACAGGGCAGGAGAAGGAATTGCAGCCTTGAAAGGCCAATAAAACACACACAGTTGGGAAGATGCCAGGAACCCAGATAAGCTTCGATGATACCAGAGAATTCACAATTTGCTCCCAATAACTTTGCTGTGTGCAGCTTCCCTTTTTTAAACATGGTGTTCTCAGCTGCAGCTAATGAAGGGAATCAGGGCCCTTTCCTCCCCCATAAGCCACACCACCCACGTTGCTCCCTTCTCCGTTCCTCCCTGCGTGCCGTAGGATGAAGAGAGGGTAGGCCTGGGTCTTCCTCCGAATTCCCTCTCCCTTGTTCTACCTCTTCCCTGGTCTGCCCAGCTGGACCTTGCCCTTCCCCAGTTTGCTCGGCCTTCCCCACCAAATCAGATTCCGACAGGGGCATGACAGTCCAACTATTTCCTAACACTGCCTTTTAAGTGGCTTTTACGTAAAAATCTACATTGTTCCTCATGAATAAATTCTAACCAAATTACGTTCAGTCAACCAGCTGGTATCGTGGTGAAAAAAAAACATGTCCCTCTTGAGGTGTTAATGGTTATATTGGCTTCTTTCCAGGATCTTTCCTCCCTGTAGGATAGAGTTCCTCATGTTTTATAAACATTGTAAAAAGTTCATCCTCAAAACATTTATAATGGGAACCTGGTAGATGTAGTTCTTAACTAACAAGCATTTCTTTTAACAACCGCTCAAAATGATAACAGCACTGCTGTTGGCTTAGAGGTGGCCCTCTTGCCTCACAATCAGGAGGCTGTGAGTTCGATCCCAGGTAGAGGCAGATATTTCTCTCTCTGGGCACACTGAGAATATATCTGCCGAATAAAACTCCACATTGGTGACAGGAAGGGCATCCGGCCAGTAAAACCTTCAGCTTCATTCAGTTGGCCAGACTCCACCCCACAAGGGATTATGAGGTCGTTAAAATATGATGATGATGATGATGATGATGATGACTGCAGAAAGTGTCTTACAACCACCCCTGACACCCGTTGTAGCATCCCCATGGTCACATGATCAAATTCTGGGCTCTTGGCAAACCGGTATGTCTTTACAACAATGGAAGCATTCCCAGCTGGCTTTTCTGACCAGCAAAATCAATGGGAGAAGCTATATTCATTTAACGACTGTGTGATTCACTTAACAACCACAGTGATTCTTTAACCATGGCGGCAAAAAAGATCGTGAAATCAGGCC